GAAAGTAAAGGGGCCAAATAATATTGCACGCCCCACTTTTCAGTTTTTTATTTTTTTTAAAAGTTTAAATTATCCAATAAATTTCGTTCCACTTCACGATTGTGTCCCACTTGTTGTTGATTCATGACAAAAGATTAAAATTTTATATCTTTATGTTTGAAGACTGAAATGTGGCAAAATGTTGAAAGGTTCAAGGGGGCCGAATACTTTCGCAAGGCACTGTATATGTGTATATATATATATATATATATATATAATATATATATATATATATATATATATATATATATATAAAATTTGTCAATTAATCTTTCAGGGAACCAAAGTAGTTGATTGTGGAGCAGGGGAATGGAGTTAAAAAACAATTCCATGTCTGTTTTTGATGAGGAAGGGATATTCTATTCTCAAATCAAGATACAACAATACAGAATAATGCAACAGACTTAAATGCAATGCCTGCGTGAGCTGAGCGAAACCAGTACTAGACCAGCACTAGACTCTCTGAATGTTACCACGATCCAGGTGTCTGTTTTGGCCCAAGGACAGAAAGACCAGATGGTCCATATTTACATACTGAAGCTGACTCTTTCACCTCAGCAGCAGCTCACCAAGAGACCTGAAGCCCAGTGAAGCAGAGAAAAGGTTTATCATCTAGATCAGTGTTTTGCAACAACTGTGCCGCGGCACACTAGTATGCCGTATGATATTGTCTGGTGTGCCTTTTGCCAACTTTGTCTAAAAATAACTGCATTCACTATTGACGAGCGCTGACTTGTCTTGAACTGTTGCGTAACCACGTAATATTTTTTCATGTCAGTAGGTGGCAGCAGAGAGCTAAGTTCTTTGAAATTTAAGAATTGAATTAAACCACCAAATGTAACAAGTAGCGGGGTGGCGAGAAATGTAAGAGTTGGATGCGACCAACCAATGTAAGAGGCAGTGGGGAGAATTTTGGCGAGTGAGAAGTGAAAGTGATTGAGACGTTTTTGAAAAGGAATTATGCCATTTCTGAACAGGATTCACATCCTCCGCTCTGACCCCGGGGCAGCTGTGGCCCGCGTTGTACTGACCTTTGACAACAGCTCAGCGAACGCACATCTGTAACATGGTGCCGCACGCGGACCCTAGTCGCGTGGACGGAACCATGGAGTCCCGGACAGAACCAGCTGCGCGGTCCTTTACTCGTGTTCAGGACCATCTCCTGTGTCTCCCCGAGTCTCTCCTGTGTCTTTTGCCGAAGTGCAAAACTCCTGAATTTAAAGCTCGGATACCTACATTTTCTCCATGCATTAAAAATGCATGTTATTTGTGCAAAAAGTAAAATGTTATACAAAAATCCACTGATTTGTTTACATTTCCCCCCCCCCCCACTTTATTCCCAAACTCTTGTTAACTCATTGTATTGAGAAATATTAAACCAAGCTTAATGTCAAGGCCTGGATTACTTTGATAAGAATGACTTTATATTGTAAATATAGGCTACAGAGTATATATTTTTACATTTTCTCATAGTGGTGTGCCGCAAGATTTTTTCAATGAAAATAGTGTGCCTTGGCTCAAAAAAGGTTGAAAAACACTGATCTAGATTCTAGAAGCAATCTTGATTTATCATCTGAAAGGTTACTTTGCAAGTTGTCAAGCTTTAGAAATATGAGGAGTCCTCAAACTTCAACTGTGATGATTTTCAAACATTTTATTTTTGCCTAATGGTGCTGTAAATTAACCTGGCAAGAGCCAGATTGATGATTGTGTAGAACTCTAATGCGGTCTCCACAATATCCATCTGGGACTTCTGCAGGAGAATCCTTTCGGAGAAAGGAGGGATAAGCAGCAGAATACTTCAAGCTGATTGGGCAAAGTGACGCTGTGTGCCCACCTTCCAAGGTTTGACTTAAACCAATCCCGGTAACATTATGTCGTCATCGGCGTGCTCTCTTTCAAAAAAGAAATTGGAGATTCTGCTAAAACTGATTTGATAGCCTCAGCTACGCGTCCATCCTCCTGCGTAGCCATGTTTGTTTTGCTTCGGCCCGGCACTTCTTGCTTTCGTCAAACCCGGATATCCCGCCCTAAACCCCCAGACTGGCACGTGATTGGCTTGAACACCTAGATGTTCTACTCAAAAAGGGTTGGCGGGAGCGGGACAAGATGTATTCTCGAGTGTTTGTGAACTTGCAAATACCGCGAGAATTCAGCTTGCAGGCAAGGTTATCTGTAAGCATTTGACTAATACTGTACTGTAATCTTTGTTGGCAATAACAGGTCAAACATTTCCTGTAGGTCATCACCGGGTTCCCACACTCTGTAACTTGCCATTCTGCAGATCTCCATTTTAGAGCTGAGATTTTTTTGGGGGGCTGTTCGGGGCAACACAGACTTTCAGCTCCCTTTACAGATTTTCCATTGGTTTGAGGTCTAAAAACGGGCTCCTCCAGAACCTTTACATTTTTCCTTTGGAGCCATATTTCATCTTCAATGCTGTCACTGATGGAAGGGCCATTCTATCACTCAATAAAGGGTGACAACTTGCACAATTGGTATCTGCTAAATGCTTATTTGCCCCAGTGTATATAGTTTCTGCTTGTTTCCAGCCTTATGGGCGGGTGGAGAAGTTCTTCCTCAAGTGGAGAAATTCAAGGATCTCAGGATCTTGTTCACAATTGCGGGAAGGATGGAGCGTGAGATTGAAAGGCGGATTGGTGCAGCGTGAACAGTGACGTGGTCATTGTATCGGACAGTTGTGGAGAAGAGGGAGCTGAGCCGAAAGGCAAAGCTCGCGATTCACCAATTAATCTTTGTTCCCTCCCTCACCTATGGTCATGAGCTTTGGGTAATGTCTGAAAGGACGAGATCTTCAACACAAGCGGTCGAAATGAGGTTCCTCCGCAGAGTGGCTGGGCGCTCCCTTAGGGTGAGGAGCTTAGTCATAGGGCTGGGCGATATGGCAAAAAAAAAAAATCTCCGATTTTTTCACACCAAATCCGATTTTCGATTTTAATCGATTTATTTTTTTCTATTTAAAAACAAACTACAACTGACAAAGAAATAGATTTTCCTTTATGCAGTTTAATCTAAATCCCCATGGAGCATAAGTGTAACAGGAATTAAGCCTTAAAACATGCTTGTAAACGAGATGGCTCTGCCATTGTAAACAGTGAAAATGTAGCTTAACAGTTTTATAATAACTTCACTTACAATGACACTATGCACCTTCAAAATAACTTAAATCACACAAACAAGGCCCATCGCAAATATATCAATCCTATTAAACACATGCATTATTTACATGAAATATCACATTTTTAAAATTGATTACTCAAAATAGAAATGTTGTAACAGTCTTTTCCAAAAGCCTCCTCGGGTTTTCATGCTTGTTCTTTCAACTGTGCCTGAGTAACTGTGCTGTAGTACAACGCTCGGTCCAGCTGGTGGCGCTAATACTAACTTCAGTGACTGTGCGAGCTTCCTGTTTACATTCTGATGCTGTAGCTAACAGCTACTGTAGCAGCTACTGTAGCTAACAGCTACTGTAGCAGCTACTGTAGCTAACAGACAGCGGGGAACACGTTGTTTGTATCAGAGCAATGAGAGCAATGTGTGAGACGTGTCTTTCCCCAAAGTGCAGCGGCTCAGTGGGACACGAGTGTGTGCGCTTTGGAATAACGAGCGTGAGAGAGCGTGAAAGATGTGGCGTACGACCGGAGCCTGTGTGTGTGTGTTTTGGCGATTAAATAAAGTCTGATTCTTGAACGTTTGAAGTGTTATTGCAACAGCACCAACTGTGAGAGCGAGCATCAGGCCAGAGGGAGACTGTTAGCATTAGGTTAGCTTCAAAATGACTGCTCAACACCATAGACCCGCGGTTAGCGCTGTAGTTCTGCGCTGGAGAAAATAAAAATCGAATTTTTAAAAAAAGAAATCGCCCTAAACGTAAAACTCGAATTAATGATTAAAATCGATTAATCGCCCAGCCCTACTTAGTCACCTCCACTGGTCCCTCTACGTCAAGAGGGACCAGTGGAGTTGGCTCGGGCGTCTGTTCCGGATACCTCCTGGACGCGCTCCTAGGGAAAAGAACCAAAGAATTTTGGAAAGAACCGCCCTCTCCAGAGGGATCATCATCAAAACGTGTCTCGCATATCACCAGAAGGATTGACAATTCGGAGAACCAATAGTCTAGAAGATTATCCGGAAAGATATCCTCCCATATACCTTTAAAATCAGTCATTGGCCTTTTTTTGCATGAATTGGCAGTGGCATTGTAAAACTGGACGGTATGTCTTTAATCCTCCCTAATCTCACTTCTACTTATTTTCTTTCCAGGTTATTTCGTCGTCCCAAGAACCATGGATTAACCACATGTATCTGTAACATTTAACAAAAGTGATGGATTACCTGGAGGCTACACTGACATCTGTGTCCACACGACGGCTCTCCCCTCTGCCTCAAACGGCCCACTTTTGAGCGCCATTTACTTCTCCACCTTCAGTCCTTCATTTCTTTCCAAAACTTTCCTTATCTTTTGATTTGAAAATGAATCAAGCTTGCAAATTGGAAAATTTGAATTATGCCATTAGATTTAAAATTTTTGTAATGGTAGTTTGTCATTATATATAACTCAACATAAAGTTCACAATACAAAAATTGCTTCATATCAGATATCTACTGAAAATTGTCAAAAATATTTGGCAATTTAATTTATTTTTTTAAATATTATCCTAATTTATCCAAATCTTATACAAATACAACTGAATATGACAACACCACTGACGACATTGGCAAAATATGCATTTCAAGTGATAATAAATCGTATAGAAATATTTTTTTTTTGTAGTCCAGTAATTGTCTACAAAGCTGCCCCAGAACTTGCCGCATCCAAAACAGCTTAGAACGATTTTTTTTAAATTTTTCTTGCTCTCAAAACCATTGTATACCAGTGGAAGTCTTCACTGATCCTCTTCTTGAAACCATCACCCAGTCTTGGCCTTCTCTTTTTCACCATGTACGGCAGTTCACGCTCTGTATCCAAACTGGACGTAGTGGGATCCAATGGTACAGGCTCGGCTTCTGGCAGCCCCGGCCGCTCCCCGCGCCTGCCCCGCTCCCCTCGCATGGCCCACCGGCGAAGCAGTGGCAACATGTCCAATTCCAACGTAGGACTCACAGGCTCTGGCAAAACCCTGTCTATGGAAAACATCCAATCCATGAATGCAGCCTATGCCACAGGCGGCCCCATGTATTTCAGCGATTCCCCTGAGGACTCTGTGGAGGTGGGGCTGAATCCGTCCTTGCCCAAAAGCACCATGACACTGGGCAGGGCTGGAGCCAGGGTGCCCTACGGGGTGCGAGCGGCTTTGATAGGCAGCAGTCCCAACATAAACAGCGGAGGGGGAGCGATGGTGCCCCTGGACGCCATTGTGTTTGGGGCGGATCTGCAGAGCCAGCCTCCGCAGCCCTCCACTGTGCCGCACTCCATGAGACAGGTGGGTGATAGGGTTATTTGACAATTCATGACATTCTGGTCGTTCTAGCCTTGTGTTTCAGTTTTTCTGGCAGGTGCCAAATTGAAAGATTTTTTTTTGTTATTTGATAGTAATTCATTTCACAAATCCGCTTTATTTTCTATGTCTTAAGTGGCATCTTGATACCCTTTGTGTTAATTAAAACTACTCATTTTGAATCTGCAATTTTACGTAAAGATATGTTCATGTACATCTGTATTTTACTTTTTCCATCCATCCATCCATCCATTTTCTTCCGCTTTATCCGTTGCCGGGTCGCGGGGGCAGCAGTCTAAGCAGAGACGCCCAGACTTCCCTATCCACACACACCTCCTCCAGCTCGTCCGGGGGGACCCCAAGGCGTTCCCAGGCCAGCTGAGAGACATAGTCTCTCCAGCGTGTCCTGGGTCTTCCCCGGGGCCTCCTCCCGGTGGGACGTGCCCGGAACACCTCCCCAGGAAGGCGTCCAGGAGGCATCCTGAACAGATGCCCGAGCCACCTCAACTGGTTCCTCTCGACGTGGAGAAGCAGCGGCTCTACTCCGAGCTCCTCCCGTGTGACTGAGCTCCTCACCCTATCTCTAAGGGAGCGCCCAGCCACTCTGCGGAGGAAGCTCATTTCGACCGCTTGTATCCGCGATCTCGTTCTTTCGGTCATTACCCAAAGCTCATGACCATAGGTGAGGGAGGGAACGAAGATTGACCGGTAAATCGAGAGCTTTGCCTTTCGGCTCAGCTCCCTCTTTACCACAACGGTACGATACAGAGACCGCATCACTGCGCACGCTGCACCGATCCGCCTGTCAATCTCACGCTCCATCCTTCCCTCACTCGTGAACAAGACCCCGAGATACTTGAACTCCTCCACTTGAGGAAGGACCTCTCCACCCACCTGGAGAGGGCAAGGCACCTTTTTCCGGTCGAGCACCATGGCCTCGGATTTGGAGGTGCTGATTCTCATCCCAGCCGCTTCGCACTCGGCTGCAAACCGTCCCAGTGCATGCTGCAGGTCCTGGTTCGTTGGAGCCAACAGGACGACATCATCCGCAAAAAGTAGAGATGAAATCCTGTGGCTCCCGAACCGGACCCCCTCCGGCCCCTGGCTGCGCCTAGAAATTCTGTCCATAAATACAGTGAACAGAACCGGTGACAAAGGGCAGCCTTGGCGGAGGCCAACATGCACCGGGAACAGGTCTGACTTACTGCCGGCAATGCGAACACAGCTCTGGCTCCGGTCATACAAGGACCAGACGGCCCTCAGCAGAGGACCCCGGACCCCGTACTCCCGGAGGACCCCCCAAAGGACACCCCGGGGAACACGGTCGAACGCCTTCTCCAAATCCACAAAGCACATGTGGACAGGTTGGGCGAACTCCCATGAACCCTCGAGTATCCGATGGAGAGTATAGAGCTGGTCCAGTGTTCCGCGACCGGGACGAAAACCACACTGCTCCTCCTGAATCCGAGATTCGACCATCGGACGTAGCCTCCTCTCCAGTACCTTGGAGTAGACCTTACCGGGGAGGCTGAGGAGTGTGATCCCACGATAATTGGAACACACCCTCCGGTCCCCCTTCTTGTAGAGAGGGACCACCACCCCGGTCTGCCACTCCATTGACACTTTACTTTTTGTCATAAATAATTGTCTTGCATAATATCCAGTGTTGCTCTAGTTATGAGTGCAATTTGGGTCAAATATATGTCACGGCCTCTTGTTAGTAGACAAGTGGATCGAAGGAGCATGTATTTGGTCCACCAAGAATCATTTCAGTCTAATTTCGCCCTAGTATCAACGAATGTAGTCTCACAATCCATAGAGTAGCACTCCTGAACCCTTACTAAACGTGAGTCGTGTAAGAGTAAGTGTTGTTGAACCCCTGTGAGGAGCTGTTTTGTGCAATCCTGTGTGAGATAAGAGCTGTGTGGTACAGATGATGACAGCGGACTGTCCTCCCACTGTCTCTGCAGCATTAGTCATAATGATGCCCAGCTCTGCTCTTTGCCACATGTACCACTCCACTCTTCTTTCCGTATACACGTCTTATACACACATTTACGTATTTCATTTTCATTATTTCATTTCATTTACTTTTACCCTATGTCCAAGTTGTGTGTTAAATGTATTTTACACAGGAGGGCAGGGGAAGTGCAGCACTGATTATTGCTGTCAATGTATTTTGCTGATTGGCGAGTCCTTCCTAGCCTGGCTCTGCCAGACCCTTGTAGTTCCGCCATGCTCCACCAGAGGCGTTTGGCTGAACCACATGGGTCTGGTACATAGACTGTATATATTAACGGACAGAGTCACGCCTAAGAAAATTGTGAAAAAACGCATCTGCGCATGCGTCAGCCGGCGCAACTCCATTCATTTGAACGAGAGACTTCAAAAATTCATAGCAAGTAAACTAGAGTGGTCCAAAAAAATCCACCCCCCTCAGCTAGCTGTCTAGCTATAATCTTGTGCAGAGCATATATGTCTTTGAGTTTGATGTTGCTGTGCACTGTCCCTTTCAATAAAGACTCACAGTAGCAGTCATTCAAACTTGAGTGTGCATGTTTGTGTCTTCATGATAGCTCTACAGTGGAAATAATGAAATATTCAGGCTTTTTTATCATATCTATTTAGCCGATGAGGGCAAAACATATTTTTTAATGCTCTGATGAATAGTATTTGATCACTTCAGATGTGACACACTTAACTTTAGGTGTGTCATTGACTGTGGTGGTAACTGTTCAAATGCAGCTTTAAATGCCTCCTGTCTTTGTATTTCAATGGAAAACAGACCGCATTTTAATTTGTCCGCCATCATCTGTTTGCTGAGATCTAAGATTGTTTTTGTATAAAGTATATCATAAAGTACATATTTTCCCCTGTGTTTTGTGTCACCAGCTCCTCCATGAACCCCCTGCTTTTTGGTCAGAATATTATGTATGGTGTCTCAGAGTTTCCCAGAACCACAAAAGCAGCCACTCAGCGGCCGTGCTTTCTCTGTCATCCTGTCATTTAGTGTTACCCCTTCAGCACAGCTCCGCACAAATCTTCTATTATTGGTGAACTTAATTTAAAAACTCCAAGTTACCTAAACCAAATGTGTAGTACTGGTTTCTGGTTTAAATCTTCAAAATCTGTTTCTATGTTAGAAATATAACATTGAAGTCATGTGAAGTATTGTCTTCTACCAACATGTTTTGTCAGTCAGTCCCAGGGCAGCTGTAGCTTCAGTAATAGTTTAGTACCTCTGAGTGTTGGCTCTGGCTTCAAATCCCAGTAGAAACCCAGCCTTTTTGAGTGGAGATTACATGTTGTACTGAGATTATTGTAAATATCTTCTTTCTGAGATCAATAAAGTCTTATACCAATGTCTATATAAGATAAGATATCTGGAAACGTTTTGTAACTTGACTGATGTTTTTCCTGTTGATATTTGAGTTGCAGGTGAGAGACGGAGCCATGAGTGACCTTCAGACACAGCTTAGAGAAGTGCTAAGAGAGAACGAGCTTCTACGACGAGACGTAAGGCTCAAATGTGTAATTTTATTGATGGTCCATATGGAAAATTAGTCAACACACTAAACTATGCTCTGTATTTTATTTATACATAATGATCAATCAAAAAAAATCCTTATATGGTAACAGCCATTTACTAATTTTAAACTTCTGTCCATTAAAACAAAAACTAAGCATTTTGAAATTGACACATCTTCCAGCTCATCTGGGGGACCCCAAGACGTTCCCAGGCCAGCTGAGAGACATAGTCCCTCCAGTGTATTCTGGGTCTTCCCCAGGACCTCCTCCGGGTAGAACATGCCTCCCCAGGGAGGCGTCTAGGAGGCACAGTCTAGAACGTCTAGAAGGGACCAGCATCTGGGACCTTGCGACCACAGCTACAAGCTGCAACATCGGCGATAGAGGAGGAGAACATGGTCCAATCAGACTCAATGTCCCCCTCCTCACCCGGGACCTGGGAGAAGCTCTCCCGGAGGTCCGAGTTTAAAGTCCATCTGACAGGCGGCTCAGCGAGACATTCCCAGTAGACCTTCACTTTATGCTTAGGTCTGCCAGGTCTGACCGGCTTCCTCCCCTGCCAGCGGATCCAACTCAGGAACAGGTGGTGATCGGTTGACAGCTCTACCCTTCTTCACCCGAGTGTCCTGGTGCCTCTTGCACTGGTGGACACCCGTGTGCTCAAACATGGCGTTGGTTATGGAAAAACTGTGACTAGCACACAAGTCCAACAAATGAACACCCCTCAGGTTCAGATCGGGGGCCTTTCTTCCCAATCACCCCATTACTTACCATAACTGCACAAAATAATGTAAATTCTGTACAAGCCAGACTGCTGTTTTAACTGTAAATTTGCAGTTGAAAACTTTTGACAGTATAATTGGAATTGACAATGATATAACAATACTAACTGTTGCAATTTTTATTTTCCAATTTTTAAACAATAATAAACATCCATCCAACCATTTTCTTCCCCTTAATCCATTTCTGGGTCGGGGGGTGGCAGTCAGAGCTGCATCCAGTCCACATAGTACCAGCCCCTCATTGATCCTCCTGCAGGTGGTGAGTCCACAGAAGGACGGCTGCTTTGTCAGTGACAACACAGCTTTGTCTTAAATAATATTTATTAAAAGATAAAATTATAGTAAATTTAATCCAAAACTTAATCCAATTCAGTTAATATTACGTAATACATTAGTATGTATTACAATACAGTAAAATAAACATAAAACATACATATAGTATAATCATATTTTAGAAAAAAGAGAATTTTTTTCTTAATTTTTTATTTGGAAACATTTTTATTGGAAATATGTGTGTATTAGAAACACAATAAGAAAAAAGCAACACTCTCATCTTGTTGCAAAATTACTTGACGTGGTTAAATTGAAGCCATACTGTTGTAAAGACCATAATGTGACTGGAGGGATTCCAAAAACTTATTTGCCAAAGCGATTGTTTAGAACAGAAAATTAATATCTCAGCTCATATTTTAAGGATTCGTGATAACATACAGAATATGAACACACTACATAGTTCAAGCCAGAAGGGGCAGGGGAACGTGTTTGTGTTAGAAGTTCCTGAAATTAGTGCGGATAAAGACTCCTACACAAAAGGAGTTAGAAATGCAGAAATATCGAAATATTTCCTAGTGCGGAGAATGTACTTTATCCTTGTCGTTTCTGTGAGATTTCTTGCCTGTTGAGCATTTTTGTTTCTCTCTTTGCAGCTAGAAGCGAAGGAGTCCAAGCTGAGTTCCTCTATGAACTCCATCAAGACGTTCTGGAGCCCGGAGCTGAAGAAGGAGAGGGCTCTTCGGAAAGACGAGGGCACAAAGATCTCAGTGTGGAAGGAGCAGTACAGGGTGGTGCAGGACGAGAGCCAGGTGGGCCCCTACACAGCCTCTTTATTGATTTGGGTTTAATGTTCTGATTGTATTATAGAACATGTCATACCAATCCACCAGATTTTGCTTTTAAAGATTTAAAGCTCTAAGTATAACACCAAAAATCTACTCATCCTTTCTCCACATTATTCCATGATTAAGTTGGAACACTGTCTCTCTTGCATTTGTTTTCAAACGTGTTTCAAATGTCAACATGTATGTCATGATCGGAACCATAGGGGGTGATAGCGAGTATACATGGTGCTCCTCTGGGAGACAGCACGACACAAGATGGGGAAGAAAGTGACTACACGCAGGTGTACAGGGCAGATCCATGGGCTCCAAGATGGGCAGATAGAGCGCACCCAGTACCCCAAACTCTTGACTCATGTACTGTGGTGTATAAATAAGCTTTTAGGCTTTGCTGTGTGCATATAGATCTAAATCCAGTCTCTCTTCTCACACGCATTGTTGTAATTTCTTACTAAATGTTTCATGTTTCATATCCATATTTTCTTCCTAAAAATGTATTTCACATCCTAAATGCAATGCCAAATTTAGTCTTCTCAAGATCATGTTTAAATCATTGCTATTAGCATCCTCTCCTTATTGTTGTAACACATCGTCCCTTGCTCTTAATAATTTCTGCTATCACACGGTGACTCAGCTTTCAGCCCCCACACGCACACACACACACACACTTTTGTCTCGGCTTCATCTCAAGTGTTCAAAAAGCATTAGAAATTCAATTAAGTGCACACATCTGCTGCATCCTCTCCACCTCTTCCCGCCCGCTGTTTCAAATGAAATCAGTATATTGTTTTTCATTGATGGAACAAAATTCTTCCTTTATTGACAGGTGAGCACCCTTCCCACTGGTTTAACTGTTCTTTTGGTGTCTTTCTTTGTTTTACAAAATAATCAATTTAAACCCGAAAGTATAAAAGATGTAATTCAAGACTGATGGGACTATCTGGATAACAAACAAAAAACAAAACAAAAAAACTGTTCAACTTTTTGCAAGCTGGGTTCAAATTATGGATGCTAAATTGTACCTTATTTTTCCCGTTTGGAAATGTATCATCTGCATTTGAGTTATTGTACATGCTTTTAGTGGTATTGGGAAACTGGAGCCCTCTGTGAATACCGGAGCACCCGGTGGAAACCTATGCGGACATAGGGAGAACGTTCAAACTCGCTGAGAAAGGCCCTGTACCCACTAGAATTCTAACCCAGGACTTTCTTGCTGAGAAGAGAGAGTGCTCTCCACTGAGGCTGAGTGGATAGCGCTCTGTCTTCTCCGCACTCTTGCATTATAACTATAGCAGATACAAGCATAATACAATGGCTCTACATAGTATTTGTCCCAATGACACATCAAATATTTCGCCGTGTCTCTGCTCTTCACCTCTCAGCACGACTTTCAAATCCATGTCCCTCTCTCCATCTGGACCTGTGGAGCAGCCTGACCACAGCCTCCTTTGTCCATACGTGGACTGGACTGAACTGCACTCTTGATTTGGAGTGATTTTATTTTTTTACTTAACAAGGAAAATGTTGCTTTTAAGATAGAACAAAAACCTTTACAATTGCTGTAAAATATATTTTTTGAAGTTATAGTATGATCATATCGCGTATTTTTTTCTCCTGCGTTCAGAGCACCATTGCTTCGACTGACTCCATGGACACACCCTTTGGGACAACATGTAAGGACAATACTGGAGTGTAAAATGTCCTCCGTATAACTATTCTCAAGGGCATTGATTCTATTTGTTCCAAAATGGTATCCTGACTCACATTTTTTATCCAATCCTTTCTGATCTAAGGTGGACCAATGTTATCCTTGTATTGTCAATTCCTGTTGCTTTTGTCAATGTCAGTTCACAAGAGTGTGTGGTTTCTGAAGACTTTTGGGCACGTTAAATAAATTGGTTCCAGTGCTTTTGATCACAGCAGGTCAGCACATTGTTGGATCTGAGAGAAAAGAAAAGTAGTGGATGTGACATAGGAATGTGGCAGAACGGTTCAAAATCTAAAAGTCTAAACTTTTTGCATGGGTAATCTTCAAATTGAATTTGCATCTGTACTTTGATTTAACCTGTTGAAAGGAGTGGTATAATCATATCATTAATAAATATAAATGCAAAAACGTTATATAAAGGGTGAAAATCCTATAATTTCTTTACAGAACCGTATAGTTTAGAAAGATATGATATTGAATAGAATAGTGTTTTTATACATTAGTATAAGTATCAAGTATGCCTATGATACGTATTGTAGCCGTACGTTCAACAGTTATGTTGCCTTGGCTTGTATCTCCTGCTATTTCTTGAGCGATTGAATTAGTTCCTGGTACTGAAATCCCCTGGCTTGACAATAACAGTTCTGTCAGAGGGCTCCTTGTAATCACTTTGCTACTGTACTGCAGTAAGAGCTGACGTCAGACCCAGCATGTGTGCTAAAGAGAAAGGGACAAAATGTTTTGACAGGGATGGGGAAGAGTGGGCGCACCATACAGGCTTCAAAGAATGGACAGGCTTTCTTGCTTAGACAGCTGGATATACAGTATCTGCGTTTAGTTCATACAAAGGTGTGATCCATAGGTAGAAATGTAGTTTGTTGTGTAATGTGCTTGTTTTGCATAGCACTGTTCAATAGTAGACCTGGGAGGCGCTGGTGCCTTTCCATCAAGATGAATGGATTTGTAGAATAAAATCCCACTGTGAAGAAAACTCATTGGTCGACTTTTATCTTGTCCATTGTGGTATTTCCCAAAGCCTATGACCATAGGTGTGGTTGGGAATGTGGACAGTGACAGACCGATCTATCAAGAGCTTTGGCTTTCATTTTCCTCTTCACCACAACAGTGTATTTACAAAGCACATGTGAGACCTGGGTTTCCTGTTTTCAATTGAATTTACTTGTGCTGCTGCAGTTGATCCTGTGGGAAAGATAGATGCTCAAAGTAACAAGAGTATAGTACAGTATATATGATAACAAATGTATTTACAATTTCTGTTTCAAAGTCTGAGTTTTAAGGCAAAGTTTTAAGACTCCTTCGACAGCGTCCCAAGGCTGCACCTTCTCAGCAGGCGCATGTATAACTTAATTAACGTAGTCTTACGCTTGTAAACGTATCAGTTAACCTACTTTATGGACCAATGGCTCCTATATGTTTATTATGATTGCATTCCCTGTGTTCAAAATGTTTCAGTTGTTGGTGAATTAACAACTTAGTGAAAATCTCCTGAGACGAGTGCTGTCGTGATTTAGGGCTATTTAAAATTAAATTAAATTGAATTGAATTACCTTGGTCTCCAGAGTGGTGGAAATAAAGCCTCCTGGTCAACTTGAACTATTGCCTCCTATGTTCCACATCACAGCTTCTTACTGCGGCGCCCAATGAGGGAATTGGTCTTTCAATGGTTTGATAGTTATTAAGAATGTTAACTGCCAAACATCTGTGTAATTTAAGCAACCTGCTTCACTTTAGAAACCATGTCTTATTTCTACTGGCTCTAAATGCAAAGACATTACGGCTGCCATGTTGGGAGTTCATCAATTATTCCATTTAAATTCAGATAACTGGTGTTGCCTCAAGCCGCCTGATGGTTAGTGTAGATACTGAGGCTAATATTTTGCCATGAGGGGATGGAGAGATTTAGGATTTAAAGCAAGAGAACATAACTTTTTAACCACAAAAAAGGATCTTTGCAACATCCATAATTAGTTCCTCTCTTTCATAAGTTTGATTCTATGACAGGTTTTCACATGCATGTATTTTTGTAGTAACGTTTTCAGAAAACAGACCCTCATTCATCCGACAATATCTCGCCCAAAGCGTCAAATAGTGACTCAACGGGCTCTTTATTACTATGCGATACAATATTACCTAATAAGATTAGGGAAGGGAATTATTCACATTTTACTTTTACAATATTCTCTCTGTTGATAATGATAGCAAAGTATTTTTTCTTTTTTTCTTTTTTTTTTTTTCACATACAATACATATTTTTAGCATGTAATCCAAATTTCTCCTAGTCCTCAAATCCACTGATCAATATATATTTGGTTTAAAGAATGCCATTGTACAAGCCAAGACGACAAAGCAGACTTCAAGATGGGTTTCTCTTCAGCCGCGTAGAATAAAATAGCCATTTGCTTGTAATGAATGAGTTGGCAAAGTCCAGGTAATTACATTATTCTAAATCACCCGTTGCTTACTCCGTCTGCTTCTGCCTTCACTGTGCATTAAGTGAGCAGCTCTTAATGCTATTGCACCTGAGTCTTGTAAATTCTCAAGAGCAGGCCTGCGTCAGACCGCTCCTATGGGCATACATTACTTGCACAATCCAATAAAAACCAAACGTGCCAATTGTACTGTGAGAAGTAGCGTTGCCAGGGAGGGTTTTATGTGCCAGACACTTACAAAAAAGACAAGATGGATGGCGGTGTTGGTGTATAAAGTGTGGTGGAAGGAAATGAAGTGGGCAGGCGATAGATAGCGAACTATCTGAATGACGTCACTAAGACACGCCCCCGCCGCCTGTCAACTCCCGCCCACATGTTTCGGACAAACACTGCCAAAATGAATCAAATACCTCTTGTCACTTTAGACGAAAATGATAAACCAGGGGCAAAATTCCACCATCAAACCATCAGGGATCATAGTGTAGACCAATTAAAACGTTGGCTTGAATGTCGTGGTCTTCCAGTAACTGGTAGAAAGTTTGATTTGATAAAAAGGTAATGGTGAGGATTATGCTAACATTATCTAGTCATTTAAATTGCAATGTTAGCGCCTTCTTTGTTTATTTTGCTCTGATTAACTTCCATTTATCAAGTTGTTTTTTGTACTGTCCATTTCGTAATTAGTTTGATCATTTAGTTAACTACAGTCAGCCGATATTATAATAGATCCATGGGGTCACAACGGGCTACACCACTACTGTCTCTGAGAGAGAAACTATCGGAGCTAGCCACACTCAGTAAACGCAAACGACAATCAATCAACATATTTAAATGTTAATGCTAGAATA